TACACGTATATATATATATATATATGTATATATATGTACAGTTACATATGCCTGCACTCTCGCGCCCCTTCGTTTCACCATTCATCTGTCTTTTACAATCGAGGTGGACTTCAAGGTCTCACACCGTATTGAGACAAGTCTGTCTGGCTCCTCCAGCTAGTTTTGTTTCGTGGATGGTTGTCTCTGGGTTACGTCAGCACTGAGCCTACCAGACTATGCGATAAGAAGAAGACAACAGAGAACTCCGGACATGGCTGTATTGTCAGGATGAAACATACAGAGCTTCTGTGCAAATATATGGTATGACTAAATGGCCAACTATTGTTGTTCACTCGTTCGTTCTGTAGAGCCAATGGCAGTGTTCCGGTCGGGAACACTTTCAGGCCCACACCACTGGTCTTATGTTGGTAAGCCTGTTTGGTGAGCTCCGCCAACGCACCTGCTTTCCGAACGTGTCGTGCCGATGGTGACCTTGGGGATGCGCCACTCTGCTTTTTCCACGTCTGGGCGCGTCCTGATACTAGTGAAATAAAAAGTACCGAAGCCCAAGGATACCAGCAAAATCTTTTTTCTCCTCAAAATGACGTCAGAAGTCGACCGACGTGTAAACCGTGTTTTAAAACTTCAAGCGCCACACGAATTCTACCTACCTAAGGTGATGGCATCGTTGCGGTAGTTTTCTGAGCTGCTGTCAAAAATCTTGCTTACATAACCTTGAGTATTTTGGATATATGATGGATTGACTATTCTAAACGTCCACCAAATCTCACCTTATCAAATGAAACCAGAGGACGAAAAGAGCATCGCGTGTCAGGCTTTCTTATGTCCTCAGCGATAGGCTAAGATTGGCAACCTTGTGCTATGGGCTGCCCATGAAAGAAAGAAACTCCTTCGCCGTTGAGTCGTTTATTGGCAAACACCGACTAAAGAGTCGCAAACTATTGGACAAGAAAGTAAAAATCTCATATGAACCTTGTTTTTTTTTAAATTGAACATCCTCAAGCGTCTCCTTAAATAATCGTAGATATTCACTGACTCTCACACAAATTTAAACGAAAGATGCAAAACAGTTCCACCAGCTCCCCACCCTCAATCAGCCTGATTTACTAACAATTTTGCTACGTTCTGTGCACTGGGAAGAATTGACCGTTTACAAATGTAACGAACTACTAATAAGGTTGCTGAAAATCGTTCACTCCTTCAGTTGGTTAAAAGAAAAAGCTCTTGAGACATTGTGACCACACATTTTCTGACAAAGCATCAGTAATTTCTGTACTGTACTACTCATAAGTTTGCTGAAAATTCATCGACAGCCCACGACCGGTTTCGCTCTTCTTGGGGCTCATCAGGTAGGTGCAGTCCCCGGGTTTCCGTCAACCTTATGTTCTACTTGAAACCAAACTGCATGAAATTAGCGAATATACACTCATCGACAAACTAATTTGGTTCTTTCGAGAGGCTCACCTGGAACCCTGAGAACATCATAAACGAGAGATTCAGCTGGGTTCCAGGTGAGTCTCTCGAAAGAACCAAATTAGTTCGCTAAAATCAGTGAATTCCTTCGTTTGTGCAACCGGGAATTCTGAAAGGTCCCCCATGGGTTTACGTTCATCATTTCGGCCCACAGCTCGACTGCCCACCGATCTTCCTTGACAAGTGAACACCAAATTGGACATATGCTACAATAACTCAGTGTGAACTGGAGATTCGAATAAAATTCTGCTTGCAGTCCTATTTTATCACGTATTTGACACATCCACTTATCGCCAAGCCAATTTTAAGATGGGTTTTGTTACCGAGATCGCTGTCCTATTTGACTGAGTTTTTTTCACATTTTTTTTAAAAGCAAACACCAGCCGAACTCATATGTTAAATATTCATTTCCTGGTCGGTACACATCCTTCGTGTAGTCTCTAAACAAAGTCCGAGTGCGAGAGGTTAAGTGACCATATCCTAGGTATTCGCCAGATGGCGTACTTTAGCCCTTCGACACCGATTATGTGGCACGTGATAGACGTTCTGAAGTGCAGGACGAGATGGCCCAAGTGGTTAGAGCGCGAATTTACTGACCGGAAGGTCCGAAGTTCGAATCCGACTACTGCCTCCCGACTTCTCCAGTCTAGGCTTGGGCAACCTGTCTGTATCCCAGCCCTCCTGCAACCTTCGAGTGATACGGCAGTTAGGCGCCAAAAGGATGCTACAGCTGAACGAACCGCCCTGAAGG